ATGACTTCCACTGTTTTCTCCGTCATATCCTTTACTTTCTCTTTTGATTTATCTTTAACATCTTTTGCATCAGTTACTACTTTTTCCTTAACGTCACTAGCTTTACTTGCTGCTTGTCCTGTAGCATCTGTAACACTAGTCACAATTTTCTCTTTGATATCTTGCGTAGTAGTTACAGTTTTATCTTTTGCATCTTTAACACCAGCTACTGTTTTTTCTTTTGCATCTTTTACTCCTTCTACCATTTTATCTTTTAGATCTTTAATTTCAGTCTCGGCTTTATCCGTTACATCATCTATAGATTTTGCAGCTTTGGCAGCTGTTTCTTTAACACGTGCTTCTTCTTCGGCAGCTTCGGCTTTAGTTTCATCTAAAAATTCCTTAAAATCATCAGAGACATTTTCAACAGCTTGTTTCGCTCCCTTGAATATACCAGAGAAAAATCCTGATGTTTTCTCTTTAGCTTTCTTTGTTCCTTTTGCAACTTTTTCTTTTGCTGATTGACTACCATCCACAACAGTATCAGCTCCAGCTATAGCGGCACCTTGTAAGACTTCAGCGTCTTTTTTACCTTCTTTTACAAGAGTATCCTTTACATCTTTTGCACCTTCTGTAAAGTCATGTGCTGTTACTTTCATTTTATCACCAACTTCCTTTCCATCAGATAAAATTTCACCTTCTGCCTTAACAACTGCTGAATCTACTTTATCTTTCACGTCTTTTATACCAACTATAACTTTTCCTGTAATATCCTGTAATCCACTTATTGTTTCGTCTTTAGCATCTTTAGTGCTAGAAACTAGTTTTTCTTTGACATCTTGCGTTGTAGCAATTGTTTTATCCTGTCCATCTTTAACAGCAGATACTGTCTTGTCCTTTACAGCTTGCATTTCTGTAACTGTTTTATTCTTTAATTCTTTAGTATTTTCTGCGATCTTATTTTTTGTATCTTGTACAGATTTTGAAGTACGTAATGCATCTTCTTCCGCGCGCTCCTCTTCTTCAGCAGCTTCAACTTTCGTCTCTGCCAAAAATTCTTTAACATCTTCAGAAACTTCTTCAACAGCGTGTTTAGCTCCTTTAATTATGCCCGAAAAGAATCCAGATGTTTTATCTTTCGCTTTTTTGGTTTCTTTTGCAGCTTTATCTTCTGCTGATTGTGCATCACTTGCTATAGCACCAGCAGCGAAGGAAAATGAGTCTTTTACAGCTTCAGCATCTTCTTTCAGTTCTTTCGTTACGGCATCCATCGCATGTTTCGTTCCATCCGTCACTTCATGAGCTGCAGTTTCTACTTTATCAGCTGCTTTCTTTTTTCCAGTCTTAATTTTATCTTCTGCGTCTGTAACTGCTACAGAAGCTTTATTCTTAACATCCTTCAATTCAATCGCTACTTTTTCCGTAAGACCATGGACTCCTTCAATTGTTACGTCCCTTGCATTCCTTACATCAGATACCACTTTTCCGGTGATATCTTGATCTTTAGTATCAGATACAATTTTCTCTTTGATGTCTTTCGTGGTAGAAACAGTTTTACCTTTTGGATCTTTAACAGCGGTTATAATTTTCTCCTTACAATCTTGTAATCCAGCTGCAGTCTTCTCTTTCGCATCTTCTATAGATTTAGCAACACTTGAAGCAGCTTCTTTAGCACGCGCTTTTTCTTCTTCTGCTTCAGCTCTTGTTTTGTTTAAGAATTCTTGAACATCATCAGAAGCGTCGTCAACTGTGTGTTTGGCTCCTTTAAAAATACCAGAGAAAAATCCTGATGTCTTATCTTTAGCTTTTTTAGCTTCTTTCACAGTTGATTCTTTAGCTGATTTCGCTGTATCTCCAAGGGTATCAGTAGCAGTGCTTATTGCACCTTTTACAGATTCGACATCTTCTTTCAATTCTTTTACTGCTACATCTTTCGCATGTTTAGCACCATCAGCAGTTGCGTGCATTGTAGTTTCTACTTTGGCAGCAGCTGCTTTTCCGCCAGACATTACTTTCTCGCCTGCATCTTTAGCTACAGCAGTTGTTTTATCTTTTCCATCTTTAATGACTTCCACTGTTTTCTCCGTCATATCCTTTACTTTCTCTTTTGATTTATCTTTAACATCTTTTGCATCAGTTACTACTTTTTCCTTAACGTCACAAGCTTTACTTGCTGCTTTTCCTGTAGCATCTGTAACATTAGTCACAATTTTTTCTTTGATATCTTGCGTAGTAGTTAAAGTTTTATCTTTTGCATCTTTAACACCAGCTACTGTTTTTTCTTTTGCATCTTTTACTCCTTCTACCGTTTTATCTTTTACATCTTTAACTCCAGTAACGATTTTGTCTTTTACTCTATCAATAGATTTTTCGGCTTGAGATGCGGCTTCTTTAGAACGTGCTTTTTCGTCTTCAGCTTCTGATTTTGTTTTGCTTAAGAACTCTTGAACCTCATCGGCAGTATCGTCAACTGTGTGCTTGGCGCCCTTAAAAATACCCGAGAAGAATCCAGATGTCTTGTCTTTAACTTTTTTAGTTTCTTTTGCGCTTTTATCTTTAACCGATTTAGTTGCGTCCACAAGAGTATCAGTGCTACTGCTTATAGCACCTTTCACAGCTTCGGTGTCTTTTTTTAATTCTTTTGCTACTGCATCTTTTGCATGTTTAGCACCATCAGCAACTTCGTGGGCTGCAGTTTCTACTTTAACCACAGCTTCWTTACCACCAGACATTATTTTTTCGCCTGCATCTTTAGCTACAGCARCTGTCTTATCTTTCCCATCTTTGATGACTTCCACTGTTTTCTCCGTCATATCCTTTACTTTCTCTTTTGATTTATCTTTAACATCTTTTGCATCAGTTACTACTTTTTCCTTAATGTCACTAGCTTTACTTGCTGCTTTTCCTGTAGTATCTGTAACAGCGGTAATAACTTTATCTTTTGCATCTTGAACACCAGCTACAGTTTTTTCCTTCGTATCATTAACACTAGCTACAGTTTTTTCCTTCGCATTTTTAACACCCGCAACCGTTTTCTCCTTAGCATCTTTTACTTCTTCTATTGTTTTATCTTTTAGATCTTTCACCCCTGCAACAACTTTTTCTTTTGCGTCATCAAACGATTTTTCCATTCGAGAAGCAGCTTCTTTAGCACGTGCTTCTTCTTCTGCAGCTTCAGCTTTAGTCTTATCCAAAAATTCCTTTACATCTGCGGAAACATCCTCAGCTGAATGCTTAGCTCCTTTAAAAATACCCGAGAAAAATCCAGAGGTCTTCTCTTTAGCTTTTTTAGCTTCTTTCACAGTTTTATCTTTAGCTGATTTACCTGTGTCCACAAGAGTATCAGTACCAGTGTTTATTGCACCTTTCACAGCTTCGGCATCTTCTTTTAATTCTTTTGCTACTGTATCTTTCGCATGTTTAGCACCTTCAGCAACTGCGCGCGTTGTAGTTTCTACTTCGGTAGCAGCTGCTTTTCCGCCAAACATTACTTTTTCGCCTGCATCTTTAGCTACAGCAGTTGTTTTATCTTTTTTATCTTTGATGACTTCAACTGTTTTCTCCGTCATGTCTTTTACTTTTTCCTTTGATTTATCTTTTACGTCCTTCACATCAGCTACTACTTTTTCTGTAACATTACTAGCTTTACTTGCTGCTTTTCCTGTAGCATCTGTAACAGTGGTAACAATTTTTTCTTTGATATCTTGAGTCGTTGCTACACCTTTATCTTTTACATCTTGAACACCAGCTACAGTTTTTTCCTTCGTATCTTTAACACCAGCAACTGTTTTCTCCTTACCATTTTTTACACCTTCCATTGTTTTATCTTTTATATGTTCGACATCTGCAACAACTTTTTCTTTAGCGTTATCAAACGATTTTTCCATTTGAGAAGCAGCTTCTTTAGCACGAGCCTCTTCTTCTGCAGCTTCAGCTTTTGTCTTTTCCAAAAACTCCTTTACATCTGCGGAAACATCCTCAGCTGAGTGCTTGGCTCCTTTAAAAATACCCGAGAAAAATCCAGAAGTCTTGTCTTTAACTTTTTTAGTTTCTTTCGCAGTTTTATCTTTAGCTGATTTAGCTGTGTCCACAAGAGTATCAGTGCTACTGCTTATAGCACCTTTCACAGCTTCGGTGTCTTTTTTTAATTCTTTTGCTACTGCATCTTTTGCATGTTTAG